CTCTCTGAGTGAAGAAATTCTTCCTCCACTCAGTCCTGAATGGCTTACTCCTTATTCTTAGACTGTGACCCCTTGTTCTGGACTTTTCCAACATCAGGGTCATTCTTCCCGCATCTAACCTGTCCAGTCCCATCAGGATTTTGTGTTTCTATGAGATCCCCCTTCATTCTTCTAAATTCCAGCAAATACAAGCCCAGTCAATCCAGTCTTTCCTCATATGTCAGTCCTGCCATCCTGGGAATCAGCCTGGTGAACCTTCGCTGGACTCCCTCAATAGCAAGAACGTCCTTCCTCAGACTAGGAGACCAAAACTGCACACAGTCCTCAAAACTGCACACAATACTCAAGGTGTGGCCTCACCAAGGCACTGTATAACTGCAGCAAGACATTGTTATTTCCAATACTCAAATCCTCTCGCTATGAAGGCCAGCATGCCATTAGCTTTCTTCGCCGCCTGTTGCACCTGTGTGCCAACCTTCAGCAACTGTTCCAGGTTTCGTTGTACCTCACCTTTTCCTAAACTGCCACCATTCAGATAATAATCTGCCTTCCTGATTTTGTGACCAAAGTGAATAACCTCACATTTACCCACATTATGTTGCATTTGCCCACTCAGTCAGCCCATCCAAGTCACCCTGCAGCCTGTTAGCATCCTCCTCATAGCACACTGCCACCCAGCTTAGTGTCATCTGCAAATTTGGAGATATGGCATTCAATTCCTTCGTCCAAACTGTTTATGTATATTGTGAAGAGCTGATGTCCCAGCACTGACCCCTGTGGCATCCCATTCATCACTGCCTGCCACTCTGAGAAGTACCCATGTATTCCAACTCTCTGCTTCCTGTCTGCCAACCAGTTCTCTATCCATGTAAATACATTACTTCCGATACCATGAGCCTTAATTATCCTTACTAATCTCTTACGTGGAGCCTTGTCAAAAGCCTTTTGAAAATCCAGGTACGCAACATCTGCTGATTCGTCATTGTCTACTGGTCACATCCTCAAAAAATTCCAAAAGATTTGTGAAGCATGATTTCCCTTAAGTGAATCCATGCTGACTAGGACTGATTCTGCCACCGCTTTGCAAATGCTGAGTTGTTACATCCTTAATTATTGACTCCAGCATTTTCACCACCCACCAATATCAGGCTAACCAGCCTATAATACCCCATTTTCTGTGCCCCCTTTTTTTTTTTAAAAGAGTGGAGTTACATTAACTACCTTCCAGTCCATTAGAACTCTTCCAATATGAATCTATGAACCTTAAGTAACAAGCTCTGACTGTGCGCAGGCTTTATTATGATCATTAGCACGTTAGGGTTACGGCAAGGGCGAAGAAGACACTTACTAAAATGTCAAAAGATAAGGCACTTGACTTACATGGAGAAGGTGAGATTGTTCTCCTTAGAGCAGAGACATTCAAAATTAAAAGAATTTGTTTTCGAAAAGAATAGTTAGTGGGAAACTGCTTCCGATGATAGAAGGTGAAATAAATCGAGGACTCAGATTTAAGGTCATTGACAAACCAAGAAAGGGCAAGAGAAGTGAGCAGTCATGATTTGGAGCAGATTCAGCAGAAACCTTTGAGAAGGAAATTGAATAAAAATTTGAAAAGGCAAAATCTGCAAGGCTTGTGAAACAGATTGGATTTTTAAACTTTTTTTTTCTCAGGATGCAGGCCTCGCTGGCAAGACCAGCATTCAATGTCCATCTCAAATTGCCCTTGACCTGAGAGGCTTGATTGGCCACTTCAGAGGGCAGTTAAGAATCAAGCTCCTCATTGTAGGCCAGACCAGGTAAGGATTCACAGCTGGTATCATTTCCGGTGTAAATGGTAGCCAGTGTAACTAACACAGGATTAATAATATCCAGTGAAATTGAAACACAGGATGAATAATGCACAGTGTACTTAATAGCCAGAGTGAATAATATCTGCTGTAAGTGAAACGCATGAAACAAATGAGTGATAACCGGGGTAGATTATGCTCAGTGTAAATGGAGCTCTGTGTGAATCACACCTACAGCAAGTAATATCCAGTGTGAATATTACCAACTGCAAACAATACCCAATATTAAACACAACCAGTGTGGATAAGTTATATTTAGAGTAAAGTACACCCAGAGTGGATAAATCCTGTGAAAATATATGAAGAGTGACTAATAGCCAAAGATGTGCAGGCTAGGTGGATTAGCCATGGGAATTTGCAGGGTTACAGGAATAGGGGAGGGGTGTGGGTGGGGTGGGATGCTTCTTGGAGGGTTGGTGTGTACTTGATAGGCCGAATGGCCTGCTTCCACACTGTAAGGATTCTGAGAGTACCCAATTTAACCAAAATTCAAGATGAGTGACATCCACAGTGAATTGTATCCAGTGTGAGTCAGTAAACGTGGAGCTGGATAAATACAGCAGGTCAGACAGCATCAGAGGAGCAGGAAGGTCAATGTTTTGGGCTGAAACCCTTCATCAGATCTGGCTAGAGGGATGATAACCCAGAAGTAAATAGAAGGAGGGGGTTGAGGCTGGGGAAAGGTAGGTGGAATGGTGATAGGTGAAAGCAGGTAGGAGGTTATTGTGATTGGTCAGTGGGAAGAGTGAAGCGGATAGCTAAGTAGGAAGATGGAGAGGTTAGGTCAAGTCAGGGAGATGGGCCATGGGATATGGCTGGGGGTGGAGGGATTTTGAAGCTGGTGAAGTCAATATTCAGGGCCTTGGGCTGTAAGCTCCCAAGGTGAAATGTCAGGTGGTGTTCCTCTAGTTTACGTTTGGCCTCACTCTGACAGTGGAGGAGGCCAAGGATGGCCAGGGGAGTGGGAGGGGGAATTAAAATAGATGGCAACCAGAAGGTTAGGTTGGTTGATGCAGGCAGAACACAGATGCTCTGCGAAATGGTCCCTGAGTCTGCGTTTGGTCTCCCCAGTATAGCAGAGACCACATCGGGAGCAATGGATGCAATAAATCAGGTTGAACGAGGTTCAGGTGAATCTCTGCCAGATGTGGAAGGATTGTTTGGGGCCTTGGATGGAGGTGAGTAGGGAGGTGTAGGGGCAGGTATTGTACCTCTTGTGGAGCTGATGGAGTTGCAAACTGAACAGTCCCTGCGGAAAGTGGACAAGGGATGGGGAAGGAAATATCTTTCTGGTGGTGGGGTCTGATTGTAAGTGGCAGAAATGTTGGAGGATGATGCGTTTAATACGGAGGTTGGTGGGGTGGTATGTGAGGACTAGAGGGACTCTATACTTGTTGTTGGGGGGAGGCGATTGAGGGCAAAAGTGTAGGAAATGGGGAAGATGCGGTTGAGGGCATCCTTAATTACAGAGGAAGGAAAACTACAGTCTCTAAAGTAGGAGGATATCTGGGATGTCCTGGAGTAGAACACCTCATCCTGGGAGCAGATGCGGCAGAGGTGGAGGAATTGAGAGTATGGGATAGCATTTTTGCAGGAGGGTGGATGAGGCAAGGTGTAGACGAGGTAATTGTGGGAGTCACTGGGTTTGAAATGGATGTGAGTGGTGAGTTGTTTTCCAGAGAGGTCTAGGAAGGAGAGGGAGGTGTCAGAAATGGTCCAGGTGAATTTGAGGGCAGGGTGGAAGGTTTTAGTGAAGTTGATGAACAGTGCGAGCTCCTCACGGGAGCACGAGGCAGCACCAATGCAGTCATCAATATAGTGGAGAAAGAGGTGAGGGATAGTACCGGTGTAGTTGTGGAAGAGGGACTGTTCCATGAATCCTACAAAGACGCAGGCATAGCTCAGGCTCATGCAGGTGCCCGTGGCCACCCCTTTGATTTGTAGGAAGTGGGAGGAATGAAAGGAAAAATTGTTGAGGGTGAGGACCAGTTCTGCCAAGTGAATGAGAGGGTCAGTGGAGGGGGACTGGTTGGGCCAATGGGAGAAGAAGTGAAGAGCTTCTAGGCCATCCTTATGGTGATACAGGTGTACAAGGACTGAGCATCCATAGTGAAGATGAGGTGTTGGGAGCTGGGGAATTGAAAGTTTTGGAAAAGTTGGAGGGCGTGTGTTGTGTCACAAATGTAGGTAGGGAGTCCCTAGACCAAAGGGGAAAGAATGGAGTCAAGGTAGGAGGAGCAGGCAGAGACAATGTGTCAACAAGTGCAGTCGGGTTTATGAATTTTGGGAAGGAGATAGAAACAGGCGGTGTGGGGTTGGGGAACTATCAGGTTGGATGCTGTGGGTGGGAGGTGATGAGGTTATTGATGGCCTGGGAGATGATGGCTTGGTGATCAAAGGTGGGGCATGACCGAGGGGACAGTAGGAGGAGGTGTCAGAGAGTTTGAGATATCCAGAGGTAACATCATCTGCTTCTGTTTCAAAAAAGGAGTAGAGGGGTTCTCCCTGGTGTCTTGGGGCCTACAGATATCCTTCAACTAACATCACTCAAAACAGATGATCCGGAAACCATCACAGTTCTGCTTGTGGGTGCTTGTCACGTGCAGATTGGCTGCCCTGTTTCCTACATTACCAGAGTGACTGCACTTCAAAAGTTCTTCATTGGCTGTAAACTGCTTTGGGACATCCCAAGTTTATGAATGGGTGACAGAATGGCAGGTTTTTCTTCCAATCTGCATCATTTTTATTTTCTCTACATGAACCATGGTATGCGAACAGGGGACTTTATAATTCTGACCCACATTCACCTGACTGTCACTTCCAGCTGCTGTTTTAACAGATTGAGGAAGGATCAGTACCGGTGATTTGTACGGCTTCCTCTCTCGCACTTAGGATATTCCGGTAAATGCTGAGCCGAGTGACCACAGAGTTCACCCTATCTACCTAGAATCAATGTGGTCAATGCACACCCACTCACAGTTCTTTAAAACTACTGACAGAAAAAGTTGAGAACAAAGGGGCCAGAGCAACTGAATCTGGTTGCTGTAAGCCTGATAGAGATGCATCAAGAACGGGGACAAATCATGATTTAGTAGTCTGATGGAGGCCTTTAAAATTATGAAGGGGTTCAGCCAGGTAGATGTAGAGGAGATGTTCCTACATGTGGCAGATTAGAAGTAGTAAATATAGGTTTGTCACTTATTTAATGAATCAAGAGACCCAGAGACCTCCCATATACTATACTTCATAAACTTGAAGTCGTTCAGCATTCAACTATCTGTGACTTTCCTTATATCAACTCCTGTTCACCCATCATCCCTGTCCTCGCTCTCAGTTAAGGATAGACATGATTTTAAGGGTCTTGTCCTCATTTCTAACTTCCTACTTGGTCTTTCAGCTCTCTTGCCCCATGAAGCAAATGCTCAATCTGGTACTGCACTGATCCCAGGTCCACCCTAGGACTAGCTGACCTTAGTAATGTGAAGTGGAGGATACACTTGGCCTCAGTACCTCCCTGGGATACGGGGATAGAAATACAAGCCACTCCTGATCATTGTCCAACCCCCATCTCCCTACCAATAAATGTGTGTCTGCCTGTTCAGGGATTAATCCCCTCCAGCCCCACAGCCTTCTGAGATCTTTGTGTTCATCTAATTTTTGGCCTGTTGAGTGTCCCCTAATTGCCATTCCTCCACCATTCGTGGCCAGGCCTGCAGCTGTCTGGGCTCAGAGTTCTGGAATTCCCTGCTTAAATTTCTCCACCTTTCTCTCTCTGTCCTTCCACATGCTCCATTCTGCAATATCAGCCAGTGTGGAATTATTAAACCATCCCTGGCATGCAGCAGGCAAGAATCAGGCTCCAACCCTGGCCATGACTGGCTTAGCTTTGTCCAGGTAGCGTGGTAGCAGCTTGGCCATCACTATCCTCGGTCAGGGAAGTAAGTCAACTAGGATCCTGCTGGAAGTAGCATATACATGTTGGAAAATTTGATTTGATTTATTATTGTCGCACGTACCTACGTACAGTGAAAAATTTTGTTTTGTGTGCAGTACAGGCAGATAGCACCATACAAAGGTCATAGGGTGATAGAACGAGGCATACAAAGTTACACAAAATTGCACAAAAAACAAGATCAACATTAGATTTGAAATTTCAGAGGTCCATTCAGAAGTCTAATAACAGTGGGGAAGAAGCTGTTCTTGAACCTGTTGGTACATGTGTTTAAGCTTTTGTATCTTCTGCCTGATGGAAGCGATTATAACCAGGATAGGAGGGGTCTTTGTTGATGTTCGCTGCCTTCCTGAGGCAGTGGGAAGTGTAGATGGAGTCATAGGGAGTCAAGAGGATAGGAGACCATTCGAGGAGGTAGATGTAACTCAGGGCCCAAGAAAAAGACAGTGAACAAAAGAGAGAGAGAGATAGAGAGTGAGAGACAACAGGAAGATGATCACAAAGAGAAACCAGAAAGCAAATTCTCAGAATTTTCTGGTAGAAGTTTGCTCTTTCAAGGGATTTTTTTTCTGACTGACTGACAATGGGTTTGACACACATTCGAACCTCAGCGCGCCCACAGAATAAACTTTCCCTCGTTTTCGTTCTGATTGATATCCTCCTCCTCCACCTCCCCCACCCTATCCCCTGATCTCTGTCTGGGATCTCAATGAGCAATAATGTGTAGCTCCCCACTGGGCTATATTGCAGAGCCCCTTTGTCATTTGCCTCCCAGCTAGAGATGGATTTGAGGTTGAAAAGACTTTCATGTAGAAGATTTTCAACAAGAACCCATCAGGTTTTGGCAAGAACCTGTAATCTAGTGCAGCAGTCTTTTGTGTGTGTGTGTGTCACTTTTAAAATTCTTTGCCCCATGAAGAGAAAGCTCATTCTGGTTCTGTACTGATCCCAGGTCCACCCTGGGACTAGCTGACCTTAGTGACAGGAAGTGGAGGATACACTTGGCCTCAGTACCTCCCTGGGATAGGGGGATGGAAATACGAGTCACTCCTGATCGTTGTCCAACCTCCCTGCCAATAAATGTGTGTCTGCCTGTTCAGGGATTAACTCAGAAAAGGAGTTCTCTCAACTGTGTTGGTTCCTGTGGTGCAGTAGCCTTTCACGGTCTAGTCTCTTACTGAGCAGTGGGTAAGCTCATCTTTAATGGAAACTGAAGTAAACGTGTCATGCTGTGATTACACCCTCTCACCAGTCACACTCACTAGGTGAGATTCCAGTGGCAGGAACCTATAAAAGGAGATCATTATAGGGTGTACTCATGCAGCAGGACTGTCACTGGACCAATGATGCAGGCAATGTGAGCGCAAATGTCACTGTAGACACTTAGAGAACTTAAAGTTTTCAAAAAATCTGAGAATAAAAAATTGGTCTTAGTGAAACAAAGCTGTCCAATTCAACTGCTTCATGAATTTTGCATTGGGGCCATCAACCTACCATCCTATTATCTGATTTGGACCCATCGCTAAGGTTTATAAAATCATGAGAGACACAGATAAGGTGAATAGCTAAGGTCTTTTCCCTAGGATAGGGGAGTCCAAAACTAGCGGGCATAGATTTAAGGTGAAAGGGGCTAAAGATTTCAAAGGAACCCGAGGAGCAACTTTTTTCGCACAGAGGGTGGTGTGTATATGGAATGAACTGCCAGAGGAGCTAGTAGAAGTGAGTACGGTTATATCATTGAAAAGACATTTGAATGGGTGCATGAGTAGGAAAGGTTTAGAGGAATATGGGCCAAACACAGGCAGCTGGGACTAGTTCAGTTTACGAAACCTGATTGGCATGAATGAATTGGAATGAAGGGTCGGTTTCTGTGCTGTATGACTCTATTTAGTTAAAAGTTTAACTGCTCCTTTCATGTGAATTAACACATTGCTAATGTTCAGCCTTTCAAACATGCAAATGAGAGGTCTAACCCCCATTAAAGGATTCATTTGAGTGGTTAATTTGTGAACAACATGTCTTGCTGCTTAAAAATTATCTCCTGCACTTTGCTGGCGGATTTTCTTTCGGATGGTCGGAGTAAAACTGCCACGAAATTAATTCTGCTGATTCTTTGCTTCTTGCCCTGTGGTGATTGGCCTTTGAGGATACCTCCAACTCTGTTCCTCACAGGGACAGTCCCGCCCGTCTGCAAAGTCTGCATGCAGCTTTCAGCATGCAAACCAGGGCTCGCCCAGATAGGGAGAGTGCTGCTCATTCAGCATCTTCTGGGCTTGTGACAGCTGTGATTCATAGAGCACAGAATGAGGCCATCCGGCCCTGTGAAATTAGTCCTACTCTTTTACTCTATCTCTTTGGTCCTGCACATGAAATCTTTTGTCAAGTATTTATCCAGCTATTTTCCCAGCCTCTCCAGTCACTCCTGAGGTCCCTCTCATCCCTGGAATCATTCTGTTAGATCCCTGCACCCTCTCCAAAGCCTTGACATCCTTCCAGAAGTACATGGTCTCAGAATTGGACACCAGCTGAGGGCCATCCAGCAATTTTTGAAGGATTAACATAACTTGCTTACTCTGCAGTCTAAACACCAAATGAAGAATTCCTCATGCCTTACTCACTCCTCAAATTGTCCTTCCAATAGATTAATTATGTGGATGGGAGATCTTGTGGCAGAGGAGGGTACCATCCCTTCGTCCGAACCAGAAGGTCTGGGTTCCAGCCAACCCCAGGCCACCATGGACGTGTTCAAAACACGGCCAAACAAGTTGAACATAAGCCTGCAAATCCTTCCAGCGCACCCCAAGAGGAGGTGGTAAGAGCAGGAACAATTCCTGGTCAGCCACATGATGGAAAAAAAGTTGGAGCACCCACATCACAACCCATAGCTCCAGACAGCAACATGCACGTAAAAATGCATGTTACCACAGCAACCTGGGCTCCCTGAGATGCTTGCGCGCAGTTTGACAAACCTTGCAAAGGAGATTAAAAGTCTTAGTACAATTGTTTGGAGCCTGACTGGGACCACACCTGGAAAACCACATACAGTTATGATCTTTATATGTTTGGCAGGATATGCTTCCTTTAGATGGAGTACAACAAAAGTTCCCTGGACCAATCCCTGGAATGGTGGGATTGTCATGTGCAGAGATGTTATGTAGACAAGGTCCATATTCCCTAAAGTTTAGATGGATAAAAGGTGCCACATGCAGGATAGAGGTTTGGAGGATGTTTTCTTGGCTGGAGGAGATAGTGTCAGGATATGGAACCAGCCATTTAGGAGTAAAATGAGGAGAGATTTCTTCACTCTGAAGGTGGTGAATCTTTGGGATTCTGTATCTCAGAAAACTGTAGATGCTCAAGTCGTTGAATATGTACAACACTGAGGCCAATAGACCTCCAGCTTCTGAGGAGGTGAAGACAAATGGGCATAGTGTTAATCAGTAATGGAGGATATAAAGAGTTGGCAGATGAATTGAACAGAAATTTTGTGTCGATCCTAGAGAGGATGCAAGTAACATCCTAGAAATGACTGTAAATCAAGAATTGAAAGGGAGGGAGGAACTCAGGAAAATTACAGTTACCCAAGGAAGTGGTTCTGTGTAAATTGTTGGAACTGCAGTAAACAAGTCCCCAGTCCTGATAGATTTCATCCTAAAGTCTTAAAAATGAAGCTACCAGTGAGATAGTTGATGAGTTGGTTTTAATTTTCCAAAACTCATTAGATTGCTTTAGGACGGAAGGTTCTCTTTAGATTGGAAAATAGTGAATATAACTGCTTTATTCAAAAAGGAAGGGAAGCAGAAACAGAAGATATCAGTTAATTTAACATCCACTGTAAGGAAAATGCTAGAAGCTATTATTAAAGATGTTGTAATGATTAATTTAGATAAGTTCAAAGTAATCAAAGGTGGAGCCAGCATTGTTTGTAAAAGGGAAATCATGCTTAACTAATTTGTTGGACTTCTTTGAAGTAACTTGTGCTCTAGATAAAGGGAAACCAGTGGATGTATTGTACTTCAATTTCCAGAAGACATTTGATAAAGTGCCACATCAAAGGTTATTGCCAAAATAAAAGCTCATGGTGTAGGGAGTAGCTTATTAGCATGAACAGAAGTTTGCCTGTGAACAAGAAATAGGAATAAACAGGTCTTTTTCAGGCTGGCAGGATTTCACAAGTGGTATGCCATAGGAATTACAATTTATGTAAATGATTTGGATGAAGAGACCAAAGGCATGGTTGGTAAATTTCCTGATGACACAAAGGTAGGAAAGTGAGTTGTGGAGAGAACATAAGGAGTCTACAAAGGAATGTAGATTGACTGAGTAGTCAGAGATCTGCCAAATGGAGTATAATGTGGGAAAGTATAAAATTGACCATTTTGGCAGAAAGAATAAAAAAAACATATTGCCTAAATGATGGGAGGTTGCAGTGTTCTGAGATGCAGAGGGATCAGGGTATTCTAACACATGAGTCATAGAAGGTTGGAACGCAGGAAAGTAATCCGGAAAGCTAATATTGTGTCATGTTTCACTGTGAGGCGAATTGAAAGCAAGAGTAGGGAGATTATAGTTCAGTTACACAGGGCATAGGTGAGACCCACATCTGGAGTACTGTGCACACTATTGATCACCGTACTTCTAAAAGGATGTTTATGCGTGGAAGCAGTTCAGCGAAGGTTGACTAGACCAATACCTGGAATAAGTGGATTACCTTACGAGGACAAATGGAACAGGGTAGGCCTGTATCCTCTTAGAAGAGTCAGAGGTGACTAAATTGAAACATATAAGATACTGAAGAGACTTGACCAGGATGTGGAAACTATTTTCCTCTGGTGGGAGAATCTAGAACTAGAGTCATAGATTCAGACAGCACAAAAACAGACCCTTCAGTCTAACTCATCCACGCTGACCAAGTTTCCCAAACTAAATTGGTCCCACTTACCTGCATTTGGCTCATTTCCCTCTAAACCGTTTCTATCCATGTGCCTGTCCAAATGTCTTATAAATGTAACTGTACCCGCATCTACCACTCCCTCTGGCAGTTCATTCCAATTATGAACTACCTTTTATATGAAAAAGTTGCCCATCAGGCCCCTTTTAAATCTTTCACCTTTCACCTAAACATATGACCCCTTGTTTTGAACTCCCCTATTCTAGGGAAAAGATCTTTGCTCTTCACTTTAAGTACATCCCTCATGATTTGATAAACCTCCGTAAGGTCCAGATGAAATTCAAAAATTAAGGGGTCAGCCATTTAAGACATAGATGAGGAAAATTTATTTCTCTTAGAGGGTTGTAGGTTTTTGAAATTTCCTTCCTCAAAAGGCAGTGAATGCAGATTCTTTAAATATTTTAAAGGCAGAGGTAGATTGATTTTTGATTACCAACGGGATGAAAGATTACCAAGGGTATGCAGAAATGTAAGAGTTGAGGTTAAAATCAGATTAGCCATGCTCTTATTGAATGACGGAGCATGCTCTTGTTTCTTGGTTACATGTCTGTAGTGTGGAAATATGTTATTGAGGTAGAAGATCAACCATGATCTATTTGAATGGCAGAGCTGGCTTTGAGGGCTGAATGGCCTACTTTCTGTTCTATTCCTTATGGTCTTTTACTCTTCCAATCTGTGCAGATGTGCCATGTCTCTTGCTCCTCGGTTCCAGAAGGAAACCATAGATGGCAGTGGGACTTATCAGAGTTCTCCAAACTTTTGGTTAGTAGCAATCTGTCATCTCCTGTCATAGTGTAACCTTTTGATGATTTGGTCTGACTCACGGCCTCAGCTGAAGGAAGGGTCTTGACCTGAAATGATGATCTGCCATTTCCTTTTCAGGGGTTGACAAATTTCTGTACTCTTACGATATGACACAATTAATATGAAAGTTTTTGAACCCGACTTCATTTCCCTTTTCTCTCTATTCCTGACTGAATTCGATCCTGTTGCTAAAAATGCGATCGGGTTTCATAGACATTACCAAAAGAGCTGAGTTATATTTTAGGATTGTCACTGATTTATTGACAAGCTGCATAATTTTAACTAAACCCGTGCTGTTGTTGTCCTGTGAGTGTTTGATGAGGAAAATGTAGAAGTAACTTTACTTTCAGCATAAAAGAATAGAAGGAGCTTTACTCTGTATCTAACTCTGTGCTGTCGCTGTCCTGGGAGTGTTTGATGAGGAAAATGTAGAAGTAACTTTACTTTTAGCATAAAAGAATAGAAGGGGAACCTGCAGGGGGTGGTGTTCCCTTGTATCTGTTGCCCTTGTCCTCCCCCGTGGAAGTGGTCATGGGGTTTGGAAGATGTTGCCTATAATCTTTGGTGAATTTCTGCAGTGTATCTTGTAAATGGTACACACTGCTGCTACTGAGCATTGGTGGCAGAGGGAGTGAATGTTTGTGGATGTGGTGCCAGTCAAGCGGGGGCTGCTTTGTCCTGGATGGTGTCGAGCTTCTTGAACCTTGTTGTTGCCATTTGGGAATGAGACCACATCAACTAGAGGCCCATGAATATAAAATAAATACAGAGAATGCTGGAGAAACGCAACAGGTCTGGCAGCATCTGTGGAGAGAGAAACAGTTCTGAAGAAGGGTCACCGGACTTAAAACATTAACTCTGTTTCTCCCTCCACAGATGCTGTCAGACCTGCTGAGTTTCTCCAGCATTCTCTGTGTTTGTTTTAGATTTCCAGTGCCTGCAGTATTTTGCCCATGAAGATGAGGCAGTAGGATTTCAGGAAAGCCAGAGAGTAGTGGGAATATGGGACCTGTTACCACAGGGAGTGGCGGAGGTGAACAGAGTAGTTGCATTTAAGTGGGGAGCTGGGTCAGCACACGGGGGAGAAAGGAACAGAATATATTGATGGAGTGAGATGAAAAGAAGCTGTTGCAGTTGCAGAAACACCAGCACGGAGCAGTTTGACCTGTTTGGCTCCAATACATTGTGCGTAATTCTCCGTCATGTCGGTCTGACTGTAACCTTTCAGCTTGCCTGTTGTGGTTTCAGGTGCGGAGCAGACTTCCTGTCACCTGTCCCTGAAGCTCCTTCAACCCGTCTGCTTCCTGCTTCCTGCTTCCTGGCTGTATGATGTGGCTCATGCAGTACGCCCAGAGAGTGTAAAGTTTCCACTGGGTACAGAAATAGGCAGGGCTGTGGCACAGTGTGGGGCTGGGGAAGAGGCAACAGGGAGGTATCCGCTGGCTGGCAGATGGCGAGGCAATGGCCTAGCGGTAAAATCACAAAACTGTTAAACAAAAGACCCTGGTAATGCTCTGGGGAGCTGAGTTCAAATCCCACCACAGCAAATGGTGGAATGTGAATTTAGTGAAAATCTAGAATTAAGGATCTAATGATGACCATGAATCAATTGTCAGAAAAAAATATTTGGTTCACAAATGTCCTTTAGGCAAGGAATCTGCCATCCTTACCCAATCTGGTGTATACGTGACTCCAGACCCACAGCAATGTGGTTGACTGTCAACTGCCCACCTGGCAGTCGGGAATGGACAGTGACGCCTATATCCTATGAATAGATTAAAAAAAAAGACTTTGGTATGGCGCAAGTTGGCAGCTTACCACAGACTTGCTGCTTTCAACCTGCACAGTGCAACCTAGGACGACACCACCAAGCTGGGTCAACATTGCTGTACATCTGGAGTCACATGTAGGCCAGGGTGGGTAAGGATGGCCAATTTTCCTTCCCCGAAGGATATGAGCGAGTTACATGGTCACCAAAACTAGCTATACATTCCAGATCTAACAGCTGAATTTAAACTTCTGTAGCTGCCTTGGTGGGGTTTGGACCCTGGCAGAGGTGGACTAATTTGCGAGAAACAGGGAAGTGAAAGATTATCGGGAGTAGCTAAGATTCACAGAGTAGTTGGATCAGCCCTGATTTTACTGAATGGCAGAGGTAGCTCCAGGGGCATATCCTGCTCCTAATTTGTAGGTTTATGTGAGCTCAGAGCTTTAGGCTAGTTCTCCGCATTGCTATTTCAGTAACATTACAAATACACCACCATTTCCCTGTGCTCTGGTGCCTCTTTTGATGGGGTTACAGCTTTGAAGGCCCAAGCTGCCTGCTACATTGATTGTTTTCTGGCTCCTATTGTAAATAGGCAGATGCATTACAGCATCCCACGGTCCAGCCCATCTCTGCCCTGCTCCCCTAATGCTAGCAATGGAAGCACATGGGACTAGGTCACCTGCCAGATTTCTCACCAATTCCACCTTAAACCCTGTAGAGAGTACACTGACAGGATATGTCGGTCTTAAGGCATCATTCTAGTGTCACTCACCACTCAGAATCACTCAGGCTGTTAACATATAACACACAGCATCTCACTTGCCAGTGCAGTATCTTGCCTGTTAGTGGAAGCCAGGTGAAAACAGTGAAAGGAACGCACTGCCACACCAATGCCCCACCCAGCACTCCCCGCAATCACCTGCCCCAAGTGTAACACAGCCGGTACAGAACCCTGTACAGCCAACGACAGACTCACCCCGAGAGTGGAAGAGAGTCGTCCTCGTTTGCGAGGGACTGCCAATGATGAGTGCAGCCCTTCATCCATACATGCAGCATTTCATTTCTTCACTCCCCATCGCCCCATCCCTGGTACCTTGCTATGTAAATTGCAGAAAGTGTGGCATTTGTCCTGTCACCTCTTTTCTCTTTCCTGTTTAAGGCCCAAAACATACCTTCCAGGTGAAGCAAGGATTTACTTGTACATTTTTCAATCGAGTCTTCTGTTGTATCTGCTGCATACAAGGCAGCCTCCTCAACATTGGCACCAAAGACAGAGCTAGGCCTTGGCTCCACCCTCTGCAACTGGATCCTCGACTTCCTGACCCACAGACCACAATCAGTGAGAATAGGCAACAGCACCTCCTCCACAACAATCCTCAACACCGGTTCCCCTCAAGGCTCAGCCCCTTCACTCTGTCCATAAGTATGATGTCAACCTTCCAGTCACTTTCCAATACAATGCACCATCTTGTTATCATGCTCACATTTCCATCCTAGGTCTGCTGCCTTTTTCCAGCGAAGCCCAGTGCAACAGAGAGTAACAACACCTTATCCTTCAATATCACGTTCAACATCTTCAGACCATGAGCAAGGCACACTATTTTGGTCATACTCCCTTCCAGTGTCTGATTTGTATGAGTTTGCTCTCAGTAGAGCTGATATATTTGCTGCTGTTAACACTTGCTATTTACACCAATTCTGCATTTATGTCACTCCTCTACCACCATTAGCACTCCCTTTGTCTTTTGTGCTGGGCCAACCTCACCATCTGTTCCATTCGCTCTTCTTCCCACTTTGTCAACAGCATAAAAACCAACATTTTCCAATTCCCTTCAGTTCAGAAGAAAAAATCATTTCGGACTTAAAACTGTTTTTCTCTCTCCACAGATGCAGCCAGACCTGCTGAGTTTCTCCAGCGCTTCCCAGTTCTATTAATCTATTTCACCCTCTCAGTGCCATGTTCTACCCTCTGAATACCACTATTTCACAACCAACGCCCCCCAACTCACCGTTGCTGCATTTCAACTAGCAAGGCTGATTTTTGCAAGGGGAGGCAGATGGCCTAGTGGCATTATTGCTGTACTGTTAATCCAGAGACCCAGGTAATGTTCTGAGGACTGGGTTTAAATCCCACTATGGCAGATGGCAGAATTTGAATTCAATAAAATTCTGGAATTAAGAGTCTAATGGATGACCATTAACCCATTGGCGATTGTTGGGGAAAAACGCTGGTTCACTGATGTCCTTTAGGGAATGAAACTGCCATCATTATCTGGCCTGGCCCATATATGATTCCAGAGCCACAGTAATGGGCAATTTGGGATGGGCAATAAATGCTGGCCTTGCTAGAGATGCTGTCACTCCGTGAATGAGTTAAAAAAAAACAAGGGGGTAGGCTGGTGCCTAGAAAAAGGATGATAGTGTGAGGAAAGAACGGACGGTAATGGGTTTAGTGAAAAAGAGAAGGTGGATCTAGAGGAAGTGCAACTGTCAATAGCGCCTACCATCAGGGGGAAAGGAATGGGACTGGTGATCACGATGTGAAAGTCACTGAACTCTTACTGAATCTGGTGGGTTGCGATTTAAGTTAGTATTCCCTCCTGCAAGCAGCAATAGCAGTGTAGAAACTTAAGTAGGCCGTAGTCTTGTGGAACTAAAACACAAAGTGGCGACAGGAGTTGGGACTGGGGGCGTGCAATCTGTCTAATGTAAGATAATGGTAAATGATATCTTAGATAGGCCAGGCAACATGACAGAAATGAAGTTGACAGTAAATTCATCAATCTATTACAGGAACTGCAGGCCAAACTGGACAGAGAGTTAGGGCCACTGATGTTCCATAAAGTGCTATTAACTCCATAGTAATTTAAAACCTCTCATCAAAATCCTTTTGTTAAACGAAATGCTGACTAACCACAACTTGTAGCTATTTATACTTCAAAACTAGCAACCAGCAACAACTCGGAATGATGCAAGATCTTAAGCAGCTGTCAGGTACCTCGTTCAGCCAGCACCATCCCACAAAAAGATTAACCAGTTGTTCACCTTATTGCTGAACGTTGGATCTTGCTATGTGCAGTTTAACTCTGCGTTTCCCGGCATTGCAATCAGCAACGCTTTCAAAGTGTTGAGTGTTCCTGTAGATGTGAAAGGTGTGGCATCTCAGTCCTGGGGCATCCCTGCCTAGTCT